GTGACAACTTACATGATTTGATGGTGAATTTAGGACAAAATATTGGAATATGCAACAGTATTTTGTTGAGAAATAAATAAAAAAGGAAAAAAAGTAGTGGGAGAATAATAAAAAAGGGAAGGTGGCGATGGAGAAAAATGGTAGGAGTACAGGTGATGAAAGTTGCAAGAATGTAGTATCTCCGTATGAAATTTGGAGACTACCAGAAAAACTCTCCTCTCTCTCTCTCTCCATATTGTCCTCAATTTCAATCCCCTCCAAGGAAACATCCTCATCCTTCCATCATTATTAATGGCATCGTTTTCTCTCTTCGCCTCCTTCTCCACCGCCTCCTCCCAGCAGTCTAACGGCCAGTGACTGAGACTGCTAGGAGAGGCTTTGCGTCGTCTTTGTCGTCGTCGGTTGGTCGGTCGGTCGGTCGGCTTCTGCTCCTTTCCGTCCCACAATGCCGACGCCGTCGACCCAACAAGCCGGCCTCGGGAAGCACGCCTCCGCCTCCGCCGCATCCGTCGCCGCCGGCGGCGACAATGACAAGTGTCTCAAACGATCTTCCGGTAAACTGAAGAAGGTCTTCCGTAAGGCGATGCTGGGTAGCGTCGTCATCAGGGCCTTCTTCAGGAACAGGCCGCGCCGTCCCAGGAATCCCGCCGAACTTGTTGCCCAGACAACCTCGTTGCTCGAGGCCCTCAATTCCTTTGACGATAAAGGCGCCGGTAAACGTTTCCCCAAGGTAACTCATCTTTCAATCCCATTGTCTCGCGCCTAATTATTATGAGATTTTGATAGAATCAAGTTGTGGTTATAGATGGTATAATAATGGAATTTGTTAAGATTTGTGTGTTTTCATTCTCATATTGATCTATTCTGTAATTAATTTACGTTGTTCATGTCTTTGTCTTATTCAGATTGCACAAATAGACACTCTTATTAGGGAGATGAAATCGATTCTATATGGCAGCAGTGAATCTGAGCCTGCTGCTGAAGCTTGCGCCCAACTAACTCAGGAGTTCTTTAAAGGGGATACATTGCGGCTCCTTATATGTTGTCTTCCCAAGTTGAATTTGGAGGTGATCATAAATATAGATGAATTTTGCAGTGGAATTTTTCAATCATTTTCTGCCACATTTTCATTGTTTCCTTTTCTAGGCCCGTAAGGATGCCACCCAAGTTGTTGCGAATTTGCAAAGGCAGCCTGTTAACTCGCGCTTGATTGCTTCTGACTACTTGGAAGCCAACCAAGATCTTGTGGATCGTTTGGTATCTGGGTGTGTATTTTCTGTTCCATTCTGCTCAAAGAAGTGGCTGATTAACTCAATTAAGCTTTGAAACCTGTTATCGTTGAATTTATTTAAAGACCATATTTCCCTTTTCCTGCGTTTTTCTATTTCTCGACACATATATCAAGTGCTTACGTTAGGTTTTATAGATACGAGGATTCAAGTCTTGCTTTGCATTATGGAACGATGCTCAGGGAGTGCATCCGGCACCAGGTTGTTGCCAGGTATCGGCTTTAGACACCGCTATTTGTTATGGCTGCCAGTGTTGTATTGATTTATTTGTCGATTTCTTTTGTTTCTCGCAAATGGTTAGCCATACACCCTGACACTGTACCCGTAACCCAAGTTTTGCTGACAAATATTATCTTTTTATTTCTATTATTCATTTGTAGTGAACTTCTTTTCCCTTTGATTTGTTGTTATTTTCAGGCAAATCTTGATGTCAGAGCATGTCAAGAAGTTTTTTGACTATATGCAACTTCCGGAATTTGATGTTGCTGCAGATGCCGCAACTACTTTTAAGGTCGTGTTTAGTGTTTACTCTCTCTCTCTCTCTCTCCCTGGGGGGCATGCCCTCCTAGTCTGGCATTTTAGTTGATTCTTTGTAGAACATGACACTAATCTTTGTTGATTTTTGCAATTCATTTCAGGAGCTTTTGACCCGGCATAAATCAACAGTGGCAGAATATCTTTCTGAAAACTACAATTGGGTATTATATTCTTGTTATTATGTTTATGTGGTTCATATTTGTGTTCTAACGCGATATATTAGCAATCATTTTGTTGATGGCGGTTGAAATCTTACTCTTCTGTTATTTGCTCTAGTTTTTCAATGAATTCAACTCTAAACTTTTGGGATCACCAAATTATATTACCAGAAGACAAGCTGTGAAGGTAAGAGCCAGATGTTTGAGCTTTATTTACTTTCTCTGAAAGGACCTTTGAGCTCGTCTTTCTCCTCCTGTTCACTGACACTCTCTATTTTGTCAGCTTTTGGGTGATATTTTACTTGATCGTTCGAATTCTGGTGCCATGATACGCTATGTCAACTCATTGGATAATTTGATCATATTAATGAATCTTTTGAGGGTAAGATATAATAATGCTTGAAATGTGCTCAAATTGTGACTGAAGCTGATGGTTTTCTCATGTTGCAGGAGACGAGCAAGCCCATCCAGCTAGACACCTTTCACGTGTTCAAGGTTGGTTTGACCAAACACATTCATATCATATAGATATATATCTTAAATTCTTAATCCCTCCGGCCTAAATATGCCCTTTTCTTACAGCTCTTTGTGGCTAATACGAATAGACCGCCCGGCATTTCCAGCGTGCTTGCTAACAACAAAGACAAGCTCCTCCGCCTCTTTGTAGGCTTGAAGACCGACAAAGGTGATAACTTTCTCCGTTAGACAATACATTGCTTGTAGTAGTGTCTTCTTACCGAACGAAAGAATTGTGTGTGTGTGTGGGAATGCAGAGGATGAGGTATTCGAGGCGGACAAAGCTCAGATCTTGAAAGAAATCGGTGAACTGGAACCACCGCGGCAGTGTGGAGATGTGTATAAGCTTCCAAGAACACCAATGTGCTCCGGAGAACTGCAGAATGTTTGTCCATTCCCTGCGCCAACAACCTGTGCTCCAATGTTTGAATCATTGACTGAGAACGATATGGTCGCATAAAATGAGCATAACATATATATATGTGTATATATTTTGTATGTAAAATCACCATTCCCTGTTTCTGATAATTGGATTTACCCAATTATCAGAAATGTTCTGTTTCTCCCAAATGCTCAGTCGGGCCGGGGTGTGGGGCCTTGAGGTTGGGGATTCAACCTTTTTGGGAGAAGATAATTGGATTTACCTGTTGTCATATTGGGAAGGGTGGTATTCTTTAATTTCTTTTTATTTAAATTTTTTTTTTCCTGTTATGAGGTCTCACCTTGTTGTTCTTTACCCTTGTAATTCTTCTAATTTTTTTTTTTTTTGAAGGTGTAATTCTTCTATTTGTTATAATGTTTATACGAGAATTATAGGAATACATTTCTTCTTCTTACAAACAAATTAAATTGCAATTTTAATCTTTGAATTACAATGCTTTAAGTATAATTTTCGTTTATAATCAATATATCATCGAAATACTAATCAAACTTAATAGATATCATTATTTTAGACTAAAATTATATGTACTCAGTATCTTGTTTGCATGTGGTTGTAACTGGGATTGATTTAGTCATATTTTTTTATTAACGATTTTAATTATCAGATTACGAATATTCTAAGTTTCATTCAAAATAAACAAATGTGTAGTAAGAACATGACTAAATATACTATCTTGATGACTAATTAAAATTATTATTATTATAACTCTATGTTAATCAGATCAAAAGTAATAAAATATAAAGTAGAGTTAATTACCAAAATGGTCCCTTGACTATAGCGAAATTACCAATTTGGTCCTTGATTATTTTTTTTAACCAATTAAGTCCCTCAACTTTAAAAACTTTAACCAATTTGGTCTTCCGTTTGTTTGACTGTTAGTCAACCGTTAACTTGGGACCAAATTGGTAATTTCGCTATACTCAAGGGACCATTTTGGTAATTAATTTTAGGGATGGGCAATTCGGTTTAGTTTTCTCGAATTGAACCGTACCGAACCGAACCGAACTAGTTGGGTTCGGTAATATACCGAACAACCGAACGGTATTAGATTCTTGTATATCGAACGGTTCGATAAAAAATTGATTCGAACCGATCTGAATTGTTCGATAAAAAATTGAACTGAACCGAATACCATTTGATTTTTTTAAAAAAAAAATATAATAATAATAATAATAATAATAATAATAATAAATAAATAAATAAATAAATAAATAAAAAGTAAATCCAGGTCCCTTGCTACTTGCTCTACCGTTCGGTTCGAGTTTTTACCGAACCGTTCGGTATATAAGAATCTATTACCGTTCAATTTTTAGGTATATTACTGAATCTAACTAGTTTGGTACAGTTCGGTTCGAGAAAATTTAATCGAATTGCCCAGCCTTAAAGTTAATTATCAAAATGGTCACTTGACTATAGCGAATTACCAATTTGGTACCAAGTTAACGGTTGACTAACGGTCAAACAAACGGAGGACCAAATTGAGGGACTTAATTGGTCAAAAAAATAATCAAGGACCAAATTGGTAATTTTGCTATAGTCAAAGGACCATTTCGGTAATTAACTCTATAAAGTATTTTTATTATCTTGGGAAAAGGGTCAAATAGGCCCTCGAACTTTAGCTTAAAAGTCAATTAGGCCCCTAAACTTTTTAAAGGTGCAATTACACCCATCAACAATTCATTTAGGTGCAATGAAGCCCAAAAACAAGTTAATGACCTGCTATTATAGGTCATTAGGGTTCAGGCCACCTTTCAGCGAATTTTCCGACAAAAAAATGGTGACCAGCAACCGACCCAGATTTGTCGAAAATTTCGCCCGTCACTTTTTTTTTTTTGCCGGAAAATTCGCCAGACCTGAAGCCTAATGACCTGTGATAGCAGGTCATTAATTTGTTTTTGGGCTTCATTGCACCTAAATGAATTGTTGATGTGTGTAATTGCACCTTTAAAAAATTTAAGGGCCTAATTGACTTTTAAGTTAAAGTTCGATGGCCAATTTGACCATTTTCCCTATTATCTTTTCATGAAATTTAAAAAGTATTTATCGGGTAAAAAGATTAATGGGGCTAGTGGGCTAGGCTTTATGGGCTTGAGGAAAGTGAGGAAACAATCCTTTCCTAATTGTATCGTTTGTTTGGCGTCAAAGACTCATCGGAAGGCAGTGTCTGAATCTGCGAGGGGACGAATATTTTGGCGGAGGTAAGCTTTTGGCCTCTGCTCACAACATACTTTCTTCAGTTTAAGTAGTAGTACTGAAATAGATAGCTCTGTCGGATCTTGTTGGCGAGTTGGTGCTTCATAATCTCGCAGAGCTGGTTGCACTTCACATGTTCGATGAAATGCCGTACTGCATAAATACAATAATTTCTTTTGATATTTTTGGTTTATAATGGGTCTTTGTGTGTTCTTGCTGATGAATTATGATCCCTTCATTTAAATGCACAATTTTCTCTGTAATACTGCTAAGGTTAGTAAAATTAAGCCCTTAATGGAGAAATTGTTTCTACTCTATTCACCCACCTACATGTTGAAGTTATATGCTATACAACTGAGATCTCTTGCTAAACTCACAACCTTATGCTGGCTGCTAAACTAGGAAATATTTGCAAATGGCAACATGAATGATCACAGTATGTCAAAATAAAGTATTGTTTGCCCATTGGACTTACTTCAAGTAACTAGAGAATGCTTTGCATTAGTTTTTTAATTTGTTATTTGAATGAAATGTTTTAACCCCAATGCATGTTGAATTGCTCTGCCGGTGAGAATTATCAGATGGCGTTTTGCTCTCCCTCTACACCAGCCAAGTTGGCAGTGACAGTTGCTTCCTTCCTTGGGAGCGTGGCTATGTTTGCTTACGGTGTGCATCTTTCCTATGTGAATATTGCCCCTCAACAAGCTCGAACTAAGGCTAGGAACGATTTTGTCAAGGATCGAATAAGAAAGAAATATGGGAAATTATAGTGTACATCTAAAGTTGCAATTTATATTAAGGACAGGACCTGTGCCTGGTTTATTAGTATGCTGTCTCATATAAACAAGATACAGAAGCTACACTCTTGTTATATCCAAATGGCATTGTGAACATCTTGTAGAATAAGTTTTTATACATTTCCTGGAATTAATACAATTGTGCATGGTTTATTGGATAGTTTTGCATGAAATGATGACCGAGTAGACTCATAAGGCAATTGTATAATTGCCTGCAGACCCAGTATAGTGTTATTGGATATTTGGATGTATATTTTTTTGCATGAAATGATGACCAAGTAGACTCATAAAGCAATTGTAAAGTTGCCTTTAGACTCAGTATGGTGTTATTGGGTGTATATTTTTTCTGTTATGATGTGTCCATGAGCCAGAATAGTAGGGTCCTATTGTCTATTCTGGGAGAAATTATGCAGCATATAGTGACTTTGAAATGAAAAATTGAAGATCATCATGTATTAGAAATTTGGTTCTCAAAATTCTTGGACACAGCTCTTAAGGGTGAGCCAATCTCAAATGGAACATTGCTAATAGTAAAATTTAATGGTCCAAAGGAGTAAGAACCATCTAATCTTAATATAACAAAATTGAGTAGATATGACTCTAAGCAGCACCACCAGCAGCCTTCCCTTTCTTTCTTTGAAGTTTCTTCATATAAAACTCTAGCTCCTTCCCCTCCAAAATGTAGCTGTAAAGTCCACAAATTATAAGACAAATGTGCAAATTAACACAAATTTCTACTTCAGCTATCACTGATTCTAGGCTTTTAAAAATATTGAAAAAATATTACTCCGTAATATTAATATTTGAACCATAACAATGATATTCCAAAATCAATAAATCATTATCTACACTAGACCATAACACATCATTTTCATTGATGTTCTATAGAGAGATATTCTTGCATAAACCAATCTACTAAAGTTGGGTAGGCTGGTGCATTGTGGTCTCTTTTTCTTTCTAACCATAATGGTTGCCTATAATATACCCAATAATTTGTTACCATAATTCTTTTGTTTAACAGAAGAAAATTCAATTTCAGTTTCATTTTGGATTCAAAATTAACACCAGGTTAGAACATAGCACAGAAGAAAAAGCCATACCCATCAGCACGACCACACTGGCCAGGCCTTGAAGCAATTGCAGCTAATAAGCGGCCACTCCCAAATTGCTCTTCAATATGTGGGTCAATTTTACGATCCTTCTGGCGTTGTTCCAGTTTCCTGAGGACATGGTTGCTCTTCTTCTCCTCCGGAGCAGCCTCAGTCTCCTAAGTACACACACAAACAAAAAAGAGATAGGAAATTAGCTGCAATATATTATAGATGATGATATTCCAAGCAAGCAAGCAATCACCTACCCACTTAGATAGAAATATATAAAAGGCCCCGCATGTGCAGCTCCTTGTGCACATAGAGGTGAAAGTTGGAAAGAATGACCAAGGATTGAGTCTCACCCGCGGCAGTGCGAGAGGTTAGTGAGGGGGCTCGGGCTCCTTGTGCGCAGTAAGCAAAGGTTACCATGATTTACATCCTCCCATACCCTGTCGGGCCAGGGTTGGGGCTCAACCTTTTGGAAAGAAATATATAAAAGGCTTAACTTTAGGACATTTCCTTACCCCGTCTCCTTCTTTCTTGGCAGAAGCAGCAGCCTTCTTCTTGCGGCCAATCTCAACTCCATAGTGCTGGAGATACCAGTGTTTAAACGGTGCAGCATCCACTTGAACAATGGCACCCTTAACCAAGGTCTGGGTCCTAACCAACTCATTATTTGAGGCATTATAAACCACATCCAAGATTCTGGTCTTCCTAGTCACAGCCTCGCTCCCCCAAGAGTAGTTCCCAGTGTCCAACCTCAAGGCACGCCACTTCACATTGCCTCCTCGAACCCGAACCCTTCGAACTGTTTTAGCATTGGGTGCCAGTTTTGTGTTTGCAGGTTGCCTTCCAAGCTCATACCTTTAGACCAATTAAAATATACTGCTAAAATCAATCAATCGATGCATATAATATAGCACAACATTTCCATTCTGAATTTAATGATAGCATTTACCTAATAAATCAGTAATGGGCATAAAAAAAATTAAATTAAATTAAAGTACAGAAATTAACTTCTTTGACATACTTTCTCTTCTTCCTCCAAGCCTTCTGCTTGCCACCAGTGGCTCGTCTTTTATGCATCGAATCCCGAGAGATACCTATCACATATCATTATCATCATTATCATAATCACTCTTTTCGTTCTTTCAATTATTATATTCCGAAAAGGTTTGAGATTAGAGCAGAGAAAGCAAGCGAGAATGAAAAGTTGGATAGATAAGAGTTGAATCGTTTACCCATGACTGCCGGCGACGACGGACCCTAGGGTTCCGACCGGTCTTCTCAAATTAATCGAACAAATTGAGTCCGGGCAGCAAGAGGACGACAGGACCCGAGCCAACTGGGTTATTTCAGCTGCGACTCTGCGAGCGATCAAAAACCCTAATGCATTGCAGTTACAATTTTGCCCTTGACTACCTCCCCAAATCCAGGCAAATTATGCCCCGAGTTCACCATTCATGGTAAACACGGGTCCAAACGGCGCCGTTTTTTACGTTAAAAAAAAAAAAATTGCTAATGTGGTGTTAACGACACAAATTCATAATCGCATAAAAGAAAAACATGTATTAAATTATGACTTTTCTGTTATGAGATTATGAATTTACTGTAAATTAATAATTTCATAACAGAAAATTCATAATTTATGAATGTTGAAGAAGCTTGCGCTACAGAGGAGCAGCCATGGTTTCGGACGGAAATGTGTAGGCATGGTTCCAAAGTGAATGTGCAGGCATGAATTCATAATTTATGAATGTCTAAAATCATTGCTCACCTCAAATTAAAGTGAAACCGCGAAATGTGAAAATGAAAAAGAAAAATCACGCGATTAATTAAGAAAAAAAAAAAGATAACAGTGCACTAACACCGTTGGGACCGTGTTCAACATGGATGGTGAACACGGTTCCCTGGCATAACGATTGCCGGCAAATTATGCTGTGCATGGTGCATACGGATGCAAAAACGACGTCATTTTAATAAAACGCGCGTCTCCCCTTAAAAAAAAATCAGGTTCAATTCCCAGCAACAACATATGAACTAAAATTCCATAATCGATGAACTATAATTCCATAATCTAATCTATGAACTAAAAATTCCAGAATGAATGAACTAAAATTCCATAATCTATAAACTAAATTTTCAGAATCAATGAATTACAATTCCATAATCGATGAAGTATAATTCCATAATCAATGAACTATAATTCCATAATCTATGAACTAAAATTCTGAACAATATAATGTTATTGCTGGGAATCGAACCTGAATTTTTCTTAAAGGAGAGCCGCGCATTTTTTAATAAAACGACGTCGTTTTGGCATCCGTATGCACCATACGGATGCACAGCATAACGATTGACGATTGCCCAAATCCAATAATGGGCCTAACACGGGTCGTTCAAAAGGCCCAAATGCTCATTTTCTTCCCGAGATAACTGAATTTCCTCCATTGATGATTTGATGGTATCGAAGCGCATTTTTTTTTTATATTCTTTTGTTCTTTGTCACTTTCTGCATCAGTGTAGCAATGGCGCATAAGTGTGAAAGGGAATCCTGACTAGCCATTTACATATGAGCGGATAATTGATGCAAGGACTAAATCTTTGTGGTATTTTTGGAGCATCTGAGATGGGTTTTTCTGCTGCCACTCCTAAATCATTGCCTCATTGTTTTTCTCTTAGAAATTCTGATCACAAACGCCTGCAGTTTCAATCTTTCAAGTACCCACCAAGAAGGATCATTTCCTGCAAGCTTGAGTCGATGAGATTTGAAGAAAGAATGAGCCCGAATGAGGTATTCATCTATATCTACTTTGTTTATTTTGCAAAGATCATATTTTGCCAGTCATTATTTTGAGTGAGCTTTTTGAAAAGAAGAATGCCATCTATTCGAGTTCAGATTGTAAGCTTGGATTTTGTTTTTGGCATTGTGTTTTTAATATAGTTTTCATTGTAAGTTGGATGTGTGGTTCCCTAGTGGAATGTTTTTACTGAAGAGGTGTCCTTTTTATCTGTGAAATTATGTTTTAGATCACTATGGAATGCTGGTTAATTCTTCACATATGTCCTTTCCCTTGCCCACAAAAGTTAAAATTTCCTCGCCCCACACCCACCCGGCCCAACAGGATGGTGAATGAGTAAATCACGGTGACTCAGTGGCTCATTAGTGCTACACACGGGGTGTAAATGCCCTTTCCCTTGCTAGTCCTGACAAAAATGGTCTATTTTCACTTCCAGAGAAGGTCGATCTAAGTGTTTTTCTACTTTTGCTATGATGGAAAGTTCGGAACCATGATGAACATATTAATTTCCAGTGTGCCACCAGAATAATTGGATATGATATGATGTTTGTAGTTGGACTTTCAAGTATATGTTTAACTGATGCATTTTATCTGCATCCTTTAAAACAAGTTGCATCCTTTAAAACAAGTTCACGAAATGTCTATTTCAGTGCCATTAGAGAGGTTCCTTAGGCAATGATCCAAGTTTCAGTAGATTTCTAGACTAACGAGGGCTTAATTGATGAAACAGGTGAAGAAAGAGATCCAGAAATGTTATGAACTGATACATAGGCTTGGCAGGGGTGTTGTGTATTTGGGCTCTTCAAGGATGGGTCCTGGCCATCCACACTATACACAAGCATTTGAGTTGGGGAAAGAGGCAAGTATTTTTGGTCTAAAGTTTCCCGAGGAAAAAGAATATTGAAAGAGCACAGGGAGAGGATTATGTTTTGTTATCGTTGTGTATGAAAACTGTGTGCCAATGCCAAATCACATTTGTGAACATTTACTTTCTGATACCTTATGAATGATCTATGTCCAAATTTCAGCTACTGAATTCTTATTGACAGATTGCAACCCTCTTGGATTGTACTTCATGGTCGGGGGCTGGACCAGGCCTTATGGATGCTGTCACAAAAGGTGCTTTACAAGCCGGAAAGGCTGTTGGTGGTTTTAAGATAGGCAAAGAAGCTGGGGAATGGACGGCCACAAATTTTCACTCATACTTGCCATCCGAAACATACCTTACTTGCAGGTAAGTGTGACCTCCGAAATCTTTCTATTCTTTCTCCATTATTTTAAATACATACAGGATTATCAAAAATTTTCCAGGTTTTTCTCTGCGAGGAAGCATGGTTTAGTAGATGCTGCTGTTAGATCTAGTAGCTTGGATAAGACGGCTGTGATTGCTCTGCCTGGAGGAATTGGCACTCTGGATGAGATATTTGAGCTTATGGCATTGATCCAACTTGATCGAATTGGCTCAGTTCTCCCCGTTCCTTTCCTTTTGATGAACTATGATTCGTTTTATTCAAAGCTGCTCGACTTTCTCCATGAATGTGAGAACTGGGGTACACTCTCCAAGGGCGAGGCTGCATCGCTATGGAAAGTTTGTAACAATAACACGGAAGCTTTGTCATATTTGTCAGAATTTTATAGCATTAAGTCTGTTGATAATTTTAGAAAAGCAATAGCAAGTGATTGTGAAACTGCACTGTAATATTACACTGGGTGTTGGTAAGCTCTGAATGCAAACAACTTCTTTGACACTTGATGATTTTCATGATCTTAAACAAAAGCAAATATTTCTCTATTATAACTAGTCACAAACAATATATCTTACATATAGAAACTAGCTATAAATTATAATTGAATTAAACATTGAACAGATAAGAAATCATAAATCCTTTTACTAGGTCACTGGAATTTTACATTTTTACTCCACCCTTGTCAACTTAGTTTAAAGGTTTCACCTATATAAACATGTCATTTTCTTATATGCAGTATGCGGAAGAAACAAGGTTCCTTTATTGCAAGAAAACTAATCCTTGCTAAGCAAATCAATGAAAACTGTGTACCGTGAATGGATCTGGAAGCAGCTATTATTGTAGACAAAAAAGATAAGAGTTGAGGTGGAGTTTGATATTTGTGCAGAAAATGTGATCACCAAAGTCATGGTGTATATATATATATGAGTAGCACAATAGAAAAAGAAGAGGAAAGGGTCTAATTATATTGAGTATGTTTCTACAAGTTGTGAGTAGAATCTCCAGTGCAGTTTCTTTGAAGGGTAATACTGCTAAGTTGAGTCAGTAATCCAGTTGACTCAATAATGTTGGTCCTGATATATGGCACCAAATTCTGCTCTCCATGGTTGATCATCATAACCTGAAGAATGTGAAGCAGTATGACTTTGTGTTACATCAGATTCTTCCCGATTTAGTGCCCGCAATGCAGCTTCTGGCAACCTACTCTCAGCAAGGTACTGTTTCATCGTATTGATCTCCATTTTGTGTTTGCTCTTTAGCTTCTCTAACTGCTTCCTCAGCTTGTCATTCTCTTCCTGGGCTTTTGCGAGTTTTTCCTGTGGCGAGAACACCAAGACAAGTAGATTAGTAATGCACTCAGAGAGTGAGAAAATTTTAACAATTTCTCACCTCTGCAAAATAAACTGTTTCCTGTGATTCTCTCAATCTGACGAGAAGTTCCCCTGCAGCCTGAACTGCTTCTGCAGTGTCTCTAAGTTGAGCTTTAAGACTTCTGTTCTCCTTTTTAAGCAGGCCCCTCTCCCTCTCTCTTTCAACCCTCAAAGCAGAGAGCTCAGATGCAAGAGACTTGGCAAAACGAGCACCACAACCTTTAGTTCCTGCTTTTGCAGCAGCCTTTCTAATATCTTGTATCCCCTGCATCATCAAACGGTGTCTTTCAATCAAGTCGTTGTGCTTCTCCTGCAGTTCAGCATAGTGCTCAACCATTTTAGCATTACCAAGGACAGCTCTTTTAAGTGCATCATCCAATTCCTCTGTACACTTCTTCTGCAGTTTTAGTTCCATCTCTACCTTATCTGCTCTCTGGCGGTTGGACTCAAGATCAATTCTAAGTTCATCTGTTAGAGAAATCCAATCACTCTCCAATTCTATCCATCTTTGTCTTTCCTTCTCAAGTTCTTCCTCGTTTAGAACTTTAGCATATATGCCACTCTTTCTTTCCTGAATTGACTGCAACAAGGAGGATTGAACTTTGTCAGCTGATTTATTCATATATGCATCTGGATTTGACTGCAGTTTGCTCCTCAGATCTTCAATTTCTTTTAGAAGTGCTTCCTTCTCAAGCATATCAAAGCGTTTGTTACCACCATCGTTATGGTTCTCCACTCCCTGGACTTCTTTATTGTCACACTTCTCGTTTATGAAATCTTGTTCATTACCTCCACAACCATTCCAACCTACAAGCTGCAAAGGATATTACATGAGATGCAGAAATACAACAACGCCCATACGAAATGACTGTAAAAAAGACAAACCAGTACAAACCTTTTCTTTGTCATTTATTGAATGACTGTCCTTGTCACATTTGTACTTTGATAGCTGCCATGACAATACCGTTGGTGAGTTGAAAAGGTTCATTTAATGGCACAAGTTAATTAAAGAGCATATACCATTTGATTTAGCTGTGCAATCTTCTCTGTTTGATCCTTACAAACAATTTCAAGCTTCTTCTCTCTCTCCAGAGCTTGTAGTAGATCTTTCTCAAAATCCTGCTACAAAAGTGGAATGAAGGAAGTCTATGCATGAAACCAAAAGCAAAAAGATCTACTAGTTTAGTTAACTATTTGCTTACCTTAGGCTCTTGATCTGCCTGTTCAGTAGCACTAGATCCATCCACTAGTGCTATCCTTGTATTTAACCTATCCTGGACTTCATTAGAGGGTTTACTCTCCTTCTGCTGAGAACAGAGTAAAGACACAGATACAGCATCAGAAAATTGCTCCCCTTCTAATGATTTTTGAGTAAGTGTTCTGACTTTTCCAGTAGACATGCATGGTTTCAGTGCAAAATGGTCAAATGAGAAGGAGGACATGGAAGATCTTGTTGATACAGAATTTTGATGGTAATGTTCAATTATCTGTACACCTCTATGAAGGCTAGCAGCCAAGGATTCAGCTGGTCCAGGAAATATTCTGCCTGACCTCGATTGAGGGTGGCCCTTATTTTCTTCCTGTTGTTCGGTTTGTGGTAACCCAGAACTTTTAATTATATCTTGCACAGCATTCCCACTTGATGAGGGATTTGGTGATAGAATTGAATTTTTCTTTGTGGTATTTTGAATCTTTGGAGACTCAGACAACTCGGGATCTTGGAGAGCAGGGCACTGATGGTCTGTATTGATTGAAATGCTACCCGGATGTAGCATTGTCCAGGTACGACCAGAGCTAATTTCTCCGTTTTCGCTTTCTTCTGAACAGCTCATATAACATTCTATTTCACAGCCTTCAGCTGAGGAATATTTGCTGCAGTCTTTGCTCTCAAAAGTTTCTTTTGAGTTCTCATATGAATTCTGGACATCACTGATTTCCATTTCTAGTTCTTTTATGTCATCCTCACTGAAGTGAATATCATCTTCAGAATCATTAACAATATGGGGTAACATCAGTGAGCGGTTAAGGCTCACTCTCAACTGATTTAAGCTGTCACGCGCGCTTTGTCCTTTGAGGTAGCCATCGTTGCTTCCAAACACATTAACATTTGTTTTTTCTCTTATTAGTTCTTCCTGTATAACCAACAAACAATATATATCATCAACTCAGTTTTTTCAAATGATACAGAAAATAGGCTTTTTCTTAAGACCAATAGAAATACCTTCAACATGCGAATCTTATCACTCAAATCATTAACATCATCTTCTGAGATTTCATTGATTACTGGATCATTCTGCATTAGTTTAACCAGATTTCCAAACCTGAGTGTGCTTATTGTGTCACTCATATGCCTACATTGAGAAAGATCATGTTAGTTGTAGCATACTAAGCATAGGAAGGGAAAATGTGGCATTTGACAACACTTTGGCAGAACAAATTCCCCAAATACTACACATGGAGAAGTTCTAGAAAAATACTTGTCATCCTGAGAGACAGTGCATATGACAGAGAGTTTGGCATTCCCTCCAAGTGATTCTTTCAATAAATGAGTTAAACAGGAACTGTTGTAGGGCACATTTTCAAGGATCCTGGAACCATCATTTTCAGTGAGGATATTAACCACATGTCTGCACATAGTTACAAGGGCAATTGTAAGTCCATGCATCACTTATCTACATGAAAGGTATGCGGGGATGGATAACTTGTTTTTTGACAACAAAATTACCTCTTATTATGCAAGTGAAATACTACTTTTAACCATGTCAATAGATTTATAGATCAAAGTTAAACTGGAGTACACATGAGAACCAAACATGTAATAGCAACTAGGAACACTGGCTACCAGATAATCGCATGATTAGCACAATATGTGGACTAAAAAGCAATTAACAACTAGAATCAGGAAACAGAAAATGTAAATTTTTTAGGAAGAAAATACATGTTTGAGATTCTAGCATCATAATTCAGATGAACATTCAGACTATGGGCCACAAAGTGTATAAATGATCCCTAAAATTTATGTATCAAACATACCCCAGCTGTGATGTGGACTTGTTCACATATTTTCCTTCCTTAACACACTGTATATCAGCATCTTCAAGTATGTTTCTCTCAAACCCAGCAAGATCAACAAGAGTAATTCTGCTTGTCTTCAAACTACCAAAGCACTTTGACGCGTTCTCCTGATGCATTATTTTACAGATAGGTGGATTAAATAATTAGGAAAATCAAATGAACCTGAAATATGAAGAGAGACATAATAATTGCATGGATTTGATATCTAGAATAACCAAAGCTACACAAATGACCATAGTTAATTCAAAATGCTCAGTACAAGTTGGGCATCCATGATATTAGTTGGTTAATAACCAAGATAGATGGTGTGCCTGAGGTGGCTACTCAAAAGCATTATCCATCTGGGGTTCAAATGCTAGCTTGGCTTGAAACTATATCATTGGCACTAGTAAGTTTATTGAAACTAATGCTTATTGTTTGACAGTACCTTACACCATGACTCAATGATGCATGTAAACACAATATGGGACCTTGAACTTTTCAAATTTATGCTTGTTGCTCCAACCTTTCTACTTGAAAGTCCCTGAAATAGTTACATAATCAATTAAGGATAAAATTCCAACAGCAATTAAAAAGAATGTTGAATACAATACTGTTCCCCACCTTAATCAAGAGCCGTGTGACATCCTCATAAGTGCTTACATATTCCTCCATCAAATTCTCAACATAAAATCCATACTTGGCATCATCCTTTATCTAAACAGTTCAACCAATATCCCAAACTCTCAGAATAATACATACTAATAAATAGAAAATCCAGAAAGGGGAACCAGGGAAAAGAATTTTGTATTTTATGGGTTAACAACACAAGGTTCAATCCCACCTTCAAATTCCTCTGGGTAGGATCCAGTAAATCTCCAATATGTTCATCGAAAATCTGCAGCAAGAACCATTTTACAAACTAACACATTCATAGCAATATCTCTGGATGAAGGCTAAAGACTATACCTCAAGGAATGAACAGCGGCACTGGTAATTTATCTGTTTATCTCCAGAGGTCTCTTGTTCCTAGAAGATCATCCACAAAATGTAACAATCAGATATTTCCTGATGTTTTGCTTCCATATATGAGCTATATAACAGATTAACAGACATACATGT